AATAATAAGGGGAATCCTACAAGTTAAATTTTTCATCTGCAATTTTATCAATGATAAGGCACTTCTTGTGAAATCAACCCCCAGCTTTATACACAGTTTTATTCAAACAAGAGTTATCCACAGAAATTATTTCTATTTTACTTCATAACTATAATCTTAGAAGTTTTGCTTACTATCCATACAAAAGAGAGACAAATGGCACAGCTGTGGAGAATATAGTACCCCAGAGCTCTTAATAGTCATTTAGTTTTTTCCTGTTTGTATCATTTTCAAAGCACGTACAAAATATGTTTGATTCAAGATAAAACACTGCTTGTTTTTTTAACATATAACTAAAATGGTGTGTATATTTTCCAATGAAATTTAGTTTTTGAGATTACAAAAATCCCTAGTCACAGTTTTAAAGTAGTAGCTTTTGGAAGCTCTGATAATAAATGAAGAAATTAATCTATTAAATACAAATGGAATAAACCCACCCAGATTATGGTAAAACTGTAGTTATACTGCTTTAAAGCAAAATCAACCTACTAAGGAGTGATGATTCTACACATATCCTTTAATGAATATCTGTTGGAAACACACAAAGTGACAGAAAAAAAATATCTCCTTAACAGAATAGAAGATACATGCAGAACCCCCAAAATGCATAAATTCTAGAAGCACCATGAGAATACATTATCTAAACATTAGAAGAATTTAAATATAATTGGTGCTCAAAACAGCCTGTTTTCCATTAAGATAATCAAACTTTTGTATCAGTACAAAAATAGCTTCACAAACTACTGCTGTATACACATTATCTGCTTTCAACTCTCAAAAATAGGATAACAGCAGTTATTTATCAATATATCACTATATATCTGAGGATCATAAATTCACAATGAACAAAATTAAAAGTTTCGTTTTCAGTATTATATTTCAGTATTACATTCTAACAGCACTGGGAAACTATAAAATTAACTATTTCCAAGAGAATTTTAGATAGTTTTAAATCTTTTTTAAAAATCCTAGAATTCATTAAGAAATAACAAGTAAATTCCAGACAGCTGATGCTATGAAGCAAATCCCTCCTGGAATCAGAGCACAAAACTTTCCTCCATATATATATAAATACTATCAAGCATATAGTAGTTATTTTATTTAGTATACAGATGACCCTTGAACAATGCAGGGAGTTAGGGGTGCCAACCCTCCGTGCAGACAAAAAGCCATGCATAACTTTACAGAAAGTCCTCTGCATCCGTGGTTCCACATCCACAGATTCAACCAACTGCAGATTCCGTAATACTGTAATATTTACTATCGAAAGAAATCCACTCATGAGTGGACCCTCGCAGTTCAAACCTGTGTTGTTCAAGGGTCAACCCTACAGCTAATCTAAGACTACAGTCTCAAAGGATGCCCTGAACACTTCAGTAGGTCAGAGTGTACACCTGTTCAGTCCCAAAAGGATATTATCATTTAGGTTAAAAAAATATTTTTTAAGAAAAAATAGCAATTTAGATAAAATTTATTACCATTTCCCCAAAGAAATTAGTAAACATTTTCTTCCTCATAATCTTCCTATTTGACACATCTCTAGACTTTTAAAAGCATTTACATAAATATACTAAAAAAAGTGTTAATTTATCTAAACTTATTCAGTGAGAATGTTTTTGCACAGTTTATAACAAGGACACAACACAGTACTATATAGCACTTGACTAAGCATTGAGCAGTCCATACATTTTAAAATTTAGTTCAGCAGTGTAATTTTTAAAAAAACAAAGAAAAGAGCAAATAAAGGTAACTCTATAATGCCAGTGAGTTAGATGGAATATAAAAAGTTGTACTAGCTTAGTAAATAAGTTTTTTAAAAGTTCAAAAGTAATTTTAAAAAGGTATTTGTGGATGAAATTATATGTCTGGAATTTGCTCTAAAAATAATACAAAAGTGGAAGAGTGGGTAGGATTAGAAAAGAAACAAGACTGGCCATTTTTTCCTAAATGTTGAAGCTGGGAGACGTGCTCATGGGAGTTCACTATAGTATTATCTCTTTCAAATATACTTGAAAATTTGTGTTAGTTTAAAGACTAACAAACAAATCTTGCTTTTCTCTTTAAAGTTAAGTAATACTTTTTAAAAAATAAAGTTTACAGAGAGTAAATAAACTATAAACACATTACTAAATTTTCAGGACCAAATGAAAATCAGGGTTTCCTTTTGTTATGTTAATTAATGAATTAATAAGATTTAGGTATAAAATTTAAATTTTAAGAAGAGCACAAGCTGGCTTGCTAAGTAGCTATTACTACAATCAACTCAATCAACTTGACTGACTAGATCATTGTTCCCTATATCCTTCCATCTTTAAAAGAAAAAACAAAAACCACACAGATATTCTAGTGATTTTGCTCCTAATTTAGCAATAAAATGGTATCAACCAGAACAGAGGAATGTTGGCAAGTATCTTTTTTCCTATTCATTCTTTTCTGTTGAAATAAGTACTAAGGAAGAAAGACAAAAATAAATAGTGTAAGTAAGCCTTAAAAACATAGATTTTAAATGTTCTCTGCCATGGGAAAAAAGGACAGTGTATCAAGTTTAAACATTTGTGAGTTTCAGATTTGAACAGAAATTATTTTAATATTCTTTGTGTCTCTCATTAATGAAACACTGATCTTATTTCTATATAGTTCTCCCAAAATAGAAACAGTTATTAACTTCCTGACACAACAATGTGCTTGTTTTGGGGATTAGACTAAAATGCACTATTAACTAACTGGCAGTACATAGTAGGGTCAAAAGAGCTGAGCTGTAGTTCTACAGCTGTTACTAATGAACTGTATGACCTAGGACAAATCACCTAACTTCTGGGATGTGTCAAAGGCCCATGCTTTCAAACTTTGACGTTTTACTCTGTAATCCAGCCCACACTTAAATATGTATGTTACTGAAACACAATTTCATCTCTTAATGTGGGTTTTATCCTGGTGTTTCTTATTTCATTTTATATTTCATTTTTTCAGAATGCCATGAATAATCTAACTTGATTTCAAACCACTGCAGTTTGAAAAATCCTAGATTACACCATCTCTGAGGTCCCCTCTGTTATTTTGAGGTTCTAACATTAGCTGTAAAATACTCAATTTTCTATCTCAGGTAGAAATCTTAATTTCAATCAAGTAACAAGGCGAATATTCATTGATACTGATTGATGTAAAAACAAGTTCAGAGAATAAGTCTTCTAAAATCCTATGCTGAAGTGTTTTTTAAATAATAAGAAAACTGTAAGATTATATAATGCCTTTAACATAATTAAAAGCTTAAATTGACCTGTTAAATTTCATTTTCAGAACTCAAATATCTCCCTGGCTAATCTATATATTCCAGTAGTCAAAGAAGCTGTACCTTCACATCAAAGAAAGTAAACTCCTATTTGACTCCCCAAAACAGAGAAAATCAATAGATGACCAATCACAGTTAATAACTCCAAACACTAAGGATTAGCAAAATAATAAACACTCAGAAAATTTTAGGTACATAAAGTAAACTAGAAATAGCTTTTACAAATGATAAATACAAAAGTTCTTATTTCATAATGCTACAGTATCCAATGCACATCTTGTTTAAGTGTTAGCCGAAGAAATCAAGTTTATAATTATGTCCAGTGTAGTTACATCTATTTATTAATTGGACGTGTTAAATAGGAAAGAAATTTTTGCTTCCCTCAATACAAATATTTTTAAAACTGCATATGAATCACATTGCTCTTTAGTAGTAACTGTGTATTTTAAAAACCAGTATGGTTTACAAATCAATGTAAACATAGTCTTCAGATTGGAAGAACCAAAAATGTTCATGTGTTCAGTCATTTTTTAGCTATAGAAAAGAGAATACACTTATACTGCAATAGTTAAAGCATTACCTCTATGAAAATTCTAAAATATGCCTAACTCTTTTATGCAAAATTATTACCATTTTTAGGAACATATTAGAATAGCCTCATAGTCAAAGAGTTTTTCCCCATTCATTCCTAAAAAACTCCTTAACAAATTCCTTCTTCTTCCTCAGCCTATGAGGTCCCCTCAATGTCAGTCTCTAATAAGTTTAGACCTATGCCCCTAATATTCAACCAATAAAATCAAAATTAAAATTCTCATGAAAAAGAGAGTTTGGAATATCTCACTTCACAATTCTTCTGAATATGCTAAAGAATTTGATCTTTTTGAACTGGTCCAAAGAGATGCACAACAAAGGAAAACTTTTTTATGAATTTTAATTAAAATTATCTAGGTCAAAAGTTTCCAAAGAAGGATAAAAATTAACTTTAACACAATGACTGAGAGGTACTTGTTTACATTTACAGTTTCACAGACCTCTTTACATCCTAAAAATACCACAATATGGCCAATAATTAATGTAACTGGTTTTGAACATATTTAGGATAAAGTGCATCTTTTTAAAGTATCAAATTCTTTAAAATTCAGAAGCATGTGAAGATTTATCTCCTGTTAGTTGGTGTGCAAAAATGAATCTGACATTAACATTAACAGGTCCATGCTGGAAGTTACACCAATAACTTGTCTTCTCCTTTGAAATAATACAGTGAGATCACCTCTAAGACTGGCAAAGCTTAATTTCAGAATAGAAAACCTATTTTTAAAAAAAATTTTTTATAACCCTCAAGAACATACATGAAAATGGAAACCAGTTTAACAAAGAGGGCTTTTTAGGGGCTGGGTTAAGAAATAAGTAAAAGAGATTTACAATAATATGTTGTTTCACTGAAAAACAATTTGTACTATAATTAGCTCAGTAGCCCTTTTTCTACAAAGGTAATGGAAATGTCCACTCCAGTCCATCTAGGCAACTATAAATTATTAAAACTTTTCTGAGGTTAACAGTTAAAAAAAAACCTGGAATTTTCACTCAGGGTTGTAACTTTGCAAGATTTATCTGAAACCAAGTAAGTTTCTACACATTTTACTTAATCATGATGGTTGAAGTGAATCTGTACCTATGTGAAAATGGCAATGCATTCTGAGTCGGTTCAGGCCTTGGCTCTGAGTTCTGGGTCACATCAGGTGTTCTTTCATCATCTGTCCCATTGATACTTTCTGGTGTTAAAGGAGATTGAAGATCCCCTCCTGCTGATTCCTTTTAAAAAAAAAAAAAAGGGAGTGGGGATAAAAAAGTGTTACACTTTTGTTAAAATACACAAGATCATCTAAAAGTTAAAACTGACTCTGATGTATGCTTACTTATGAAATATAGTTATTTCAATTGAAATTGGAGTCAAAGACGTAAAAATGAAATTTGAAGGAGAAAAAATTTTAAAGCAAAGCAACGCACAAGAAAACTAACTGAAACAATACAATTAAAAAATGTAAACATAACACAATTTAGAAATGTAGTTTCAAAGAACTGAAAAACTTTTAGGTTATATAAGCAATAAATTGGTTAAAATAAGATATTCAACTAATTACTTGAGAAGAAAAAGAAGATGGGACAAAAATGCAAGAAGATTTTATTTTTTATTTGGGAGGGTAGGAAGAGAAATGGAACGAAATCTTCAACAAGTCAATTTTTTTGATCTGCCATAGCTTTCAGTTCCAAGAGACATTTAGAAAAGTAACTGGAAATGTTTCTATAACACATTATATATAATGTGCTTCAGCTTTTCTTGCCTGCTACTCATAATGAAATTATTTCTCTTTGCAATATTTCCTGTCTTATTTCTATCAAGGTAAATTTAGTTTATCCCACTGGAATATAGATGGGATTTAAAACAAAGGTCACTCTGACACCTACTCTTATGACTGCCATCATCAGATTATCTAAATTTGATATTAGAAGTCAGAATGAGGGGTCATTTGATAACCCTAGTAACCAGGGGAGGTCCTAGCACCAGATTGTTAAAGAGCAGCTTGACAGACCCCTGACCAATAAAACTTCACAATAAAACATCAGTGTCCGGGCTTCCCTGGTGGCGCAGTGGTTGAGAGTCTGCCTGCAGATGCAGGGGACGCGGGTTCATGCCCCGGTCCGGGAAGATCCCACATGCCGCGGAGCGGCTGGGCCCGTGAGCCATGGCCGCTGAGCCTGCGCGT